GTGCAGCTATCCCACAACAAGGCTATTTTATTTTTCTTGCCTTATCTCAAAGGTGGAGACCTTTAGACAATGATGAAAGTGGCATTTTTGCTTCCAATTTTAATACTTATTTTATTTTTAGGGGCACAGCTTATGGTAAATGGTTAATAGCTGAGCACATGTAAGGCCCTGAGTTCAATCTCCTGCACTTGAAATAATAGGAGAGACTAGAAAAAGAATCATAGGAATGATACTATGCATTCCTGGGTATTTATTTCTGAGTCATAGCTCAAAGGCAAACAGATAAGGCTCAGAGCCTTCTTTTATCCGAGTAGGAGTACAGCGTGAGGCCACCATGCTGTGTGTCCTTTATTAGTTATTCCTGTGTGTGTGTGTGTGTGTGTGTGTGTGTGTGTGTGTGTGTGTGTAGAGAGAGGCCAGAGGTTGACACTGAGCGTCTTTCTCAGTTCTCCATCTTGTTTTTTGCGGCTAAGTCTCTCACCGAGCTCACCAATTTGCTGGCCAGTGAGCTTGGGGGATGTCCTGCTTGGCTCTTGGAGCTAGGATTACAGATGTGGGCACACACACACCCCGCTTTTCACCTAGGTCCTGGGGAGTTCCTCACACTCGTACAGCAAACACCGAGTCATCTCACACAGTCCAGGCCAACTCTAAACTCAAGATATCCCTGCCTCAGCCTCACAAGTGAACCTGGCTTAAAAATGTGGAACTTTGGTAGCTAGGTGTGGCGGTAGGAAATGTAGGAGAGGCAGGAAGGCCTCTCTCTGACCCTCCTCGCCCTCCTCTGAGCAGGCTATGAAACTCCTGATTCCTTCACCTTCTGGCCAGGGACAAAGCCATAAAACCAAGGCAGGGCTGGAATCCCAGCAGTGGGAAGCAGTTAGAAGGATCATTATAACTTCAGGGCTAGCCTGGGCCACATCTGGAAACCCTGTCTCAGAAGACCAAACAAGCAAAATCCCAGATAGGTCCCTCTCTGACCCCTCTCTCCTTAATCCAGTGGTTCTCAACCTCCTAATGCTGTGACCCTTTAATACGGTTCCTCATGTTGTGGTGATCCCCAACCATAAAATTATTTTTGTTGCTACTTCATAACTGTAATTTTGCCATTGTTATGAATCATAATGTAAATATATGTTGTTTTCAAGCCGGGTGGTGGTGGCGGTGGCAGCAGCGGCGAATGCCTTTAATCCCAGCACTTGGGAGGCAGAGCCAGGTGGATCTCTGTGAGTTCGAGGCCAGGCTGGGCTACCAAGTGAGTTCCGGGACAGGTGCAAAAGAATCTACCCAGAGAAACCCTGTCACAAAAAAACAAAACAAAAAAAAAATTGTGCTTTCTACTGGTCTTAGGTGACCCCTGTGAAAGGGTCTTTCAACGCGGCCCCCCCCCCCCCCAGAGGTCATGAACCACATGTTGAGAAACACTGCCTTAAGCCCTTCTTGGGGTGTGCATCCTGCCTTAAACTCCTAGGAAGGAATGCCACGTAGGATGCCAAGCACCTCCCCACCCCTAGTACACACTTGGTGTGTGTGTATGTGTGTCATTTGGGGTTGATGGCTGGGTCTTCATTATGTAACTCAGGCTAACCTCAAAGTCTGAATCTTCCTGCGTCCACCACCCATGAGCTGGGATTACAGGTGCATGCATGCCAAAAGATGTGGCAGCCACCGTTCAGGTCTTTATTTCTGCTAGCCCCACATCTCAGAGAGCATGCACTACATCAGTCTGTATGCTTTCCTCTTGCTAATCGATCATCTTTTGCTGTAAGGGCCAGCTATGACCCTTGGGACAGGTGAGAGGAAGCCATTGCTCCTCTGGAAGGCTTTCCTTCATCTGACTGTGTGAATCTTTTTAGAATCGAATGTGAATTCCCTCCACTACCTCATTTTGAAACCCTGGAAGTGAGGGGACATCTCAACTCAAGGCAGCCTTGCTGTGCCCCTGACACTCACTCCATCCCACGGTCGTAGACACGAAGTCTCCAGAGGGTTCTAGGTAAGTTCTGGCTTGTTGTCCAGAACCTGCAGGGGTTTTCAGCCCACAGCCTCCCTCGAATCTCAAGAAAAGCAGGGTGGATCCCACCCAGGCATGCATTTCTCCTGTAAAGTGTCAGTTTGAAAGGTACTGTGGAGAGAGGTGACCTGACATCCCAGGTCAAGGCCACATTTCCAGGAGTATCAAGGTCAGGGAAGAGTACACATCCACTCTGGAATCCAATTCCCTTATTAAAAGTGTGCCCAGCAATCAATATCCACCCCTGCCCCCCAGAAAGGCTCCTCACAGCTACATATTAACAGCCAAATAAAATCATGTCTAGCTGGGTGTGCTAGCGCGTGCCTGTAATCCCAACATTCAGGGAGTAGAGGCAGGAATTCAAGGTCATTCTTGGTTGCACATTTGAAGCTAGCCTGGGCTACATGGGAATCTGTCTCAAACAAACAAAAATGTGTCAAATTTTTTCAAGAGGCAAGCAGCGGCAGGATAGCTGTGGGGTAGATTGCCTGCCTGGCCACCAACAGGGCTTCTGAGGGGAGTGGGGTGTCTCAGGATGAGGTGTTTCCTCAGATTTCTGATCCCATCATCATAATTTTACTTAAAAAATATAAAAACAGGCCAGGCACATGCCTTTAATTCCAGCACCTGGGAGACAGACAGACTGGTCTTTGTGAGTCTGAGGCCAGCCCAGGCTACAAAGTGAGTTCCAGGCCAGCCAGGGCTGCACAGTGTAGTGTGTCTGCTTATCAAAACAAACTAAAAAAACCAAAACCAGAAAAAACAACAACAACTAAAAAACAGAATGAATAAATACTAAAGCAAGCATCCCCGGGTTTTAGATAATTTATTGTTAAATGAAGAAGTCACAAAGCAAAAATGGATTGGGACAGAGGCCGAAGATAATTTTAAAACTTTTTGTCTTTTGGTATGTGTCAAATACTTTCTAAGTTTAAAAAACGGGAAAAGTGTCAAATGAAAAGATACTGGTTCAAATGAAGTCTTGCTCAGACGTTTGAAAGGAAAACTACCTTTCTCTAGAAACACACAGCCTCTGCCACAGCCATAACTTACACAACAGAGCAAAAGCTTCATAACGAACACACGCAGTCTCTCACGCACACTCAGGAATGTCAAGTGTGTGAGTTTTAAAAAATCTCCTCTTCCACTTTGCCAACCATCAGGGATCTGCTCTGGGCTGGTGACACCTCCATCAGGATGTCCCAGGATGCCACTCAGCTTCCGGGCCTGCAGCTTTCGAGAAGATTCCAAACAGCTACATACAGCTGGCTCCTAGCGAATAACCTAACAGCATAAAACCCGCCTTTCCATCCACATTAGACATCCACACTTGCTTACTTCTACTTACTGAGATGGTTCTGGTTCCATCCACACCTAGAAGGTTCTGCCTGAACTCCTGAATTTCACATGAACCAACTTACTAAGACCGAAACAGAGAGAGAGAGAGAGAGAGAGAGAGAGAGAGAGAGAGAGAGAGAGAGAGAGAGAGAAGAATGTCTTAAGGTATCATCATTCTGAACTCAAAACAAGTGTCTCCAAAGGGGCAGAGTAAAGCCTTTGTGATTTTCCTAATTAAAAAATTGTATTTGCTGGGCGGTGGTGGCGCATGATTTAATCCCAGCACCCAGGAGGTAGAGCCAGGCGGGTCTCTGTGAGTTCAAGGCCAGCCTGGTCTATAGAGCAAGATCCAGGACAGGTACTAAAACTACACAGAGAAACCCTGTCTCAAAAAAACAAAACAACATCAACAAAAAATTGAATTTGCGCCAGGGTGGCACACGCCTTTAATCCCAACACTTGGGAGACAGGCAGGCAGATCTCCGTGAGATCAAGGGCAGCCTGGTCTACAGAGTGAGTTCCAGGACAGCCAGGGCTACACAGAAGAACCCTGTCTCAAAAAAAAAAAAAGAATTGTATTTGCAAAAAGAAATTATATTCCCACCTCAGTGACATTACAGAGTCAGATAGAAAATCCACTTCTGTCAATAAAGGCTTTTCCAAAGCCAAGTAGCACTTGTTACTCTCAGTTTGACTGAGGAGCTCATGTGCCCCAGTGTGTCCCCAACTGAGCTGCACCCTAGTCAGCTGGGACCCCGAGGCCAGCAACCTGTCTGCCCAGGGGGATGAGTTAAAAACACAACAGACCAGACATGGCCGTCTACAGGGCAGACACGGGCTAGGCGGTGTGGCTCTAGTCATCGCCACCGTCGTCCCTGCCGTGGCCCCGGGAGAGCCAGCACGTTCTCAAGTCTGCTTTCCGGACAGATGGAAGCCATCCTCAGAGATCCAGAGACATCACAGAAGGCAAAGCCTCTGTAGCCCACTTGACATGATTTGGAAGTATTCGGAGGAAATATGCACAACTTGTTCTTTCCAGTGCTGGAATAAAAATCCGTTTGCCACTTTCCTCACTCCAGCACTGTGGGGCCTGGTAGGGGGTTCTAGGAAGCAAGGGCCAGGCCTGGGGTAGGGGCACGGGAGCAGCGGCAGCCTGGTGTACAGCACCCACTGGGCCAGCATCGTCCCTGCTGCTGGGGCCGGCTCAGCTGGACTCTCGAAGTTGGCTGGGAAACACCGTTGACTCATACCCGACTCCACGATAGTTACTTCTGTGTATACAGTGGTACAAAAGAAATGTTCCCCCATCACCACAGAGGCAAGGCTGTGGTGTTTGAATTGTCACTCCTTACTCCTGAATTCATCTTAGCTTAATCTGGATGGTGAGGAATACTCCTGGCTTCTCTGAGTTAAACCCAGTTCCTCCCAGTTTTGACATTATCAAAGTCCTAAGAGTCAGTCCATCGAGACAGTTAATCTTGATGATCTGAGTCACATTCGAATCTGCCTCCTCCTATGGCAGCTGTTCTTAGGCATGGCGGCCCGCAGTGGAATCCCTTTCCACGCAGTTCCAGCATGCGTTTTTCCAAAGCATTCTTTTAAAATGCCATTCCTCTCAAAAAGAGCCTCTGCTGCATTTTGCCTTGTGAAAAAAAAAAAAAAAAAAAAAAAGGGAAAGTATTTCAAAACCCCAAAATACCTATGAGCGGAATTACACAAGCCTGAGGAGATGTTAACCAGATGCCAAGCACGCCAGGGCTGCACCACAGCCTGCGCCTGGAACCAACCTTGGAGAACCAGACGGCTGCGGTGCCCCAGACAGGGCTAGCTGTTTACCCAACCCAGCGACGGCAGCGGAACAGGCAGAGCGCTCATGTTTTAAAGGCATCTCCTTCTGGGGTTTCTGTTTTTCTCCCCTAATATCATGAAAAAAAGATTTTGATAATACTAAGAGTTTGGATTAGCAGGAAAAACAAATAAAGCAGAAATGAAAAATGGTCCCGAACACGAGTCTCCACAGATTGAGCACATCTGGGCATCACAGTCCACCGGAGGTAGCTCCTTTACTCTTTTTTTTTTTTTTTTTTTCCGGCAATGAAGATATGCATGGCTGAAATTTCTTAAAACCCACTTTTTCTGTTCCAGAGACTTTCCCACTTCCTTGGTCAGAAAGTGGAGGACAAGCTCACCTCAGCTGGTCCTGATGCCATTGTTCTGCCTATCTTTATTTTCTCATCAAATTGAGACTTTGGGGAAACTGCATCAACCAGCCAGGACATACATATATCTGCTCCTTAAAAAAAAAACTATCTGAAAAAATTTTAAACAAAGCCAAGTTTCTCTATTATTATAAGATGCAGTGATTTTTTTTTTCTTTCTTCTTTCCCTGGCTAGGCTTAGAGGTATCTCTAGGTCAGACTCCTCTGGGCTGGGATGATATGCAACAGCAATGTTACCCAACTTGTCCAGAGTGGTCTGGGGACCAGGGCAGTGGATGACCAGCTGGCCCAGCCTCAGGCAGCTAGACTGAGTCAGCATTCATCTGGGAGACCGTCGCTACCCAGGAACTCCGTGGCCTCGAGCTCCACACTGGACAGAAACCTCCTCAGCTTCTTGTGGCAGTTGTAATCCAGAGTGGTGGTGTAGACGGTCTTGGGGTACTTGGGGTAGATGATGGTGGTGCTGAGGAAGCGTGCGGCCTTGTGGCGGGGCTCGAAGCGCACCTCAGCCTTATAGTTTCGCCAAGTGCAATTGGGGATACAGGTGACTGTCTGGCTGCAGGAAGCCACCGCCAGCCCCAGGGGCATCTGCACGTCATCGATGAAGTGCCGCTCAGAGTCGTACTTGACTGAGGAGGTGTACCTGTAGGGAGATACGAGCCAGCATGAAGCTGTCCTCTGAGTTAGGAGCATGGGGTCCCAAGTGTGACCTCTCATCTCTCCTGGGGTGCAAACACTGAACTTGGCTGCACCGGAGAGAAGCAGCAAGAATCTACGGGAGTATTTATGAGAGGCATATCACTCCAACCACTTTTGTCACGGGACTTAAAGGGATCTTCCCAAACGCCCTGGGAGGAGAAAAGCAAGATTCAGAGATGAAGGTCACAGTGTCCCTGAGTGATGATGGACTTGTGTGAGCGGATGGATGGATAGATGGATGAATGGATGGACTGACTGATACATCTGCAGGGCTGGGGATAGAAATCATGGCCTTGAGTGCTAAGCAAGAACTCTACCCCGAGCTAAGCCCCCAGGCCTGAGCTGAGCCCTAAATGCAGCGCACAGGCTTCCAAAGTTTACCTTGAGCTCACCATTTCCCCTAGCTGGCCACAGCCCTGAATTCCATTCCCATCTGCATAAGCTTGAAGCCCTCAGTCTAGTGGCTTAACTTGCCTACACCTCAGAATCCTCTCTGACAATGGAGGGGCACAGTGTCTGCATGCAGAACAAAGACAATTTGGTCAATGACTGGCCACATATATGACAGTGGTCCCATAAGATCGTCCAGTGACGCGGCACCTTCTTAATATGTATAAGTGCATGTTAACATGTTCATGTGCCTTGGTTACTGGGGATTTTTGTTTTTTCCTTTGGTTTTTGTTTTGTTTTTTAATGACCTGATACAAGTTAGAGTCATCTGAGAAGAAGGAACCTCAATTGAGAAAATGACCCCATAAGTTTACCCTGTAGGCAGGCCTGTGGGGCATTTTCTTGATGTGGAAGGGTGCAGCCCACTGTGGGCGGTGCCATCCCTGTGCAGGTGGTCCCGGGGTGTGTAAGGAGGCAAACTGAGTAAGCTTGGAGGAGCGAGCAGGTAAGCAGCTCTTCTCCGTGCCTCCTGCCTCAGGTTCCTGCCATGATTTCCTTTCAGGATGTGAGCGGAAACCTAACTGAGACATCATGCCGGGACATGACCTAAGGACCTGTTCTCTGGATGCATCTATCATTGAGCAGGGCTGTGTCATGGAATGAGGTGGAGTCAGCTGCTGTAGGGGGTAAAGACTTCTCCATCCCCTCCACGACCAGCCAGCTCTTGAATGAGAAGAGGAAGGATCCCAGAACTGCCTAGTGCTAGGAGTCCTAGAAGCTTGCCTACAGCCATGTCCTCAGTGATTGGCCTACCTGGACTATGGTTTGGAAACCAACTCTGGGGGACCCAGGGCCCTGATTCTGTCAATGAAAGCCAAGTGCATCCCTGATGGCCACAAACTAACTTGCCACTTACATCCCTCAGTTGCATCATTATTATTATTGTTGTTGTTGTTATTATTATTATTTTGGGACAAGGTCTTGCTAAGTAGGCCAGCCTAGACTAGAAACCGCAGCTCCCTCTCCCCCCTCCACACACCCGCCTCAGCCTCCTGAGCGCTGGCTGGGACTGACTAGTGTAGGTGTACACACCCTTCATGGCTCGGGGTTAATGTGTTCTGGAAGCATCACACTAACAACTCGGCTACATTAATATTGCAGCTCCACAGATGTTAGTTAGTATCTCCACAAGCATCACGTGGCTGAGAACCAGCATTTTGTCTGTTCTCCCCGGAGTCACAAGACCCTGATGGGAGCTAATGTCACGAAGTCACGTCCCAGTTTTGTCAGGAACACAAGCTCCAGGGGAATAAAAGGCTAACCTGCTCACCTCTAAATGGATGAACCTCCCTCTGTTCCATATCAAAGGCCCCTTTGTGTGCAGGCAACTGAAACTCCAGCTACAAAACCTCCAGTCTCCAGAAGTAAAATTCCTTTCGCTAAAAAAGACAGCTCTTTGCTGGAACCTCTCCACGACTCTTTGCCCCCATAATCCTGGGTGAGATCATTCCCAGGGGACTTGTCCAGGGACGTAACACGAGACAGGGTCATAACACCTTCAAGGTGGGACAGGGGATGATTGGCTTCTGGAAGTAATATTCAACAAAGTCTTTAGCACCCAAAGGCGTGTATGAAACACATAAAGAACTTCATCACGCCGGGCGGTGGTGGCGCACGCCTTTAATCCCAGCACTCGGGAGGCAGAGCCAGGTGGATCTCTGTGAGTTCGAGGCCAGCCTGGGCTACCAAGTGAGTGCCAGGAAAAGGCGCAAAGCTACACAGAGAAACCCTGTCTCGAAAAACAAAACAAAAACAAAAACAAAAACAAAAACAAACAAACAAAAAAGAACTTCATCACAATATCTCACTTTTATTTTAAAAAGAGTGTCTGGTAGGTGTAGCGTGGCACACCTGTAATCCTAACACTCAGGAGGCGGAGACGGAAATATCATCCTAAACTTGATAACCGGGGCTACACAGTGAATGCCAAGCCAGCTAACTCGACCTTGCAAGGCCCCATCTGAAGACTTTAACTAACTAGCTTCATAAATAAATGGAGTATCTCTATATTTAATGAGTTATCGTGCAAGACAATAAGTCAAACTATTAATAGTCTTTGGTACATCTTCATAACTAACTTTTTAAAACAATAAGCGATCGTACCTGGAATTTTAAAAACATTTTAAGAAATAGTATCAGGATCAGCACACTCACTTTATTTCCTTGGGTGGTAAGGGGTCAAACTCAACTCCTTCGCCGAAGGACAGGGGACAGAGCCGTGGTGAGCAGCCGGCAGCCAGCGAGTGGGTCAGAGATGCTGGGTTCTTCGGAGAGAGAGGAGAAAGTGGTTAGACCTATGACTGACCGGCCAAAGCACACACTCCACAGAAGGCTGAGCCTCCAGTAAGGGGCCCCGGGGTGACTACAGTCTGTCCCTACAAAGGACAGGCCTGGCCCATGGCATGGGGAGTGCACAGGGTCAGAAGGTCAGGGTTCAAATCCCAGATCACTCCTCCCCTCTCCCCTTTTCAGTGATGGGCCTTGCACCCAGGAGCACATTCGGCAAGGTCCATCCTAAATGTGCTCTGTGCCCTCGGGGGAGTTGTGCACCGGCCCGAGGTCTTTATCTGCACACTGGGGGAAGGTTGTGAAAGGCAGAAGAGGAAGCTGGCATCATGGTGAACTCCACATCAGGACTGAGGCCAGAGCCAGAGGCTGCCATGCCCCGGGACCCTGTGGTGAGAAAGCCCCACAACTCAAGCTTAACTCTTCAGAACCTTCAATTATGCAGAGCACCCCCCTCCCCGGCTGTCCTTGTCTCAGCAACAGTTAGAGAAGGCCACAACTACCGCTGAGGGAAAGGTAAAGATCCACCCCTCCTTCCCCACCTCCTTCCTTCTGGGGTTGACAGAGGGTTCCCGCAACTCTGTGACAGTGGTGTTGCTCCATGTCACCTCCCACCAGCCAGGAAGCTCAGTGTGCAGAGCGCAGCCTTTGACTCATCAGGGAAGCTCAGGTGCCGGTCTCTGGTCACCCAGCAGGCTGGAATCGGCCCTCTGTGCAGAGATAAACACAGAGCAGAGGGACCTCGGCGGCCCTTTGTGCGCCCTGCTTTTCCGAGGTCTGTCATTTTCTTTGCTTAATTTAAGAGCAAGAACTGCATCTGTGCCAGGCTGTGGAAGTGGCGGGTCCCACCCACCCCCAGGACAAAGAAGGCAAATGTCTCTAGAAGGCTGGCTCTGAGATCTTCACTGTGTTACCAGGACAAGACGCAAAAGCGGAAAGGACCGGCTGAGAGCCCTCGGAGTACTGCTGCTCCAGGGCTAGGATGGACCTTAGTGGCTCTGGGTTCAAACCAACGTCAGTAATGAGGTGTGGCCACAGACCTAGAAACAGTGGGTCCTGCTCTGTCTCTGGCTGCCCGAGTCTCCCCATCAGGAGGGCACATCCCAGGCAGCTCTGGAAGCTACACGGTTCTATGGCCACCACGGTTTGTGCTCCACACCCCCAGGACAACTTTCATCCAAGGCTCCGTTCCCCCTGTCTCTCATTCCTGCCCCCCAGGCAGACACTCCCTGGGCATCTAGGTGTGTGTGAGGGTGAGGGAGATGGGTTAACAGTAGTAATGAGAGACAAATGCACAAGGACACACTGAAGGGTTGACACCAAGCCACAGGTTCTGTGTGCGAAAGCTCCCAGAGGAGGTGACATCGCTGAGCACGGAAGGGCCATCAGGACTTGGATGGGACAGGTGAGGGTCAAGGTTATTCATGTCAGGCGGAAGAAGTGACATCAGAAGCACCCGTGAGTGTCTGGTCTGTGGTCAGAGCAGGTAAGATGAGGCTAGAAGGCCAGACGGCCAAGCTGAAGCAAGCTTCACCTTGGAATGAAGTCTGAGATGCGGATGCTTGCTGGCACAGGGTCAGTAGGTCAAGAAGGCCCACCCCACCAAAGCTCCACCATGGTCCTTAAGAATAACACTGCCACCGACCACCCCACGGGAGGCCCAGTCAGCAGCCACCCCTAAGTCCTACTTTGAGCTTCAACTGTAGGCAGGATGTGGCCTCTCCTGAGCTCTGCCTGCAAACCACCGCCTGAACAGAGCCCAGGGCAAAACAGACTTGGAGTTTTTCTTGCAAAAAGTTAAGTAAAAGGATGAATACTTTCAAAGCCTTGGCCACCTGGAGGACTCCGATCTCATTAAGATCAGAACTCTGGCTGAGTTAGGTATTCAGGATCGGGGCCCACCAGCACACTGAAAGCTCACGGCATAACTCCTAGGGGCTCCCAAAGGTTAGCCCGCCTTGTGCCGGGAGCCCAGAACACACCCCTCTCCCAGGTCCCGGCAGAGGGAGGCCGCCTTGGGAGCAAAGCCTCCGGGCGTGGGCCCCCGGGTGGGGAGGGCCGGGTTCCCTGTCCGTGTCCCGGGAGCCCCACCCAGCCCGCCCCGGCAGGAATGTGGTCGAGCCGCAGCTTGGCAGCCCCGGGGGCCACCACCTCGAAGGGAGGAGACCGCGGCTCGCCTCTCCCGGGGCTCCCGCGCCTCCCAGGCGATGACAATTTTCCAGCCACTGGCTCCAGCTGGCCAGGCTCTCTCGCTGCGCTCCCGCCCCGGCTCCCGGCGATGGCCACGCCGTCTCGACGGGCGGGTGGCCGCACCGACAGCGAGCGCTGCGGAGTCCCCGGGCGGGCTCCGGGTGGGCCAGGACGGGGAGAAGTCCGCGCACGAGGCAACTCACCGGGATCGCTGGGGTCGCCGCCGCGTCGGGCTCTAGCGCCCCAGGGACCGGAGCGCGCTCCCCACCGCCGCCCCCCGCCGCCGCCGCGAGCCCCC